TCCAGATGGATCTGACCAAGGCTCCTGGCGTAGACGGTCTGACTGTTGGCGACGGTGATTTCGACCTCATTGAAGAGTTCTTCACTGTTGAGGATGAAGATGCTCGATGACACCATATGTTGGCCACAGCAACTGTCTAGGTACCATTTGTTGACTTCTTTCCTTGCCTTGGCAAGTTTGGCGAGCTTCGGAGTGATGTGATGCTCCATGGCGTGTTCGTTTTTGTAGTCGTAGTAACACCCTTCCTCGTCGTATGCGATGCGTGCAGGTGGTGACTCCTGGATCCACTGCGGCGCTTCCCAATCAAACTGCATCCGTCCGACCGTCAGCTCGTCGTAGGTCGGATCGTTTTCTTCTTCGTCTTCAACTGAACCTTCGGGCCGCTCCTGAGGTGGGTCTGCGAACATGTCCTCCCAGCTGCGGAAGAAGCGATAGTGCCGGTTTGGGCGAGGCGGTCCCCGACGCACCATGCAAGTTAATACTTTGCTTTTTCCTTTGTCGTTTGTGTTCGCGGGAATACGCGCCGGAGCTTGGGATGTGCTTGCGACGGCTGGTGGTGACATTGTCTGGTTGCGTGCTGGAGCTCCTCCTTGCTGGTGGGTTGCGGCACCCTTCTAGTTGTTGTTGTTGCCGTTCAGCTTCCAGCAGTCTTGAATTGTATGTCCTGTCTTCTTGCAGTACTTGCAGAAGAGCCTCTTCTTGTCCGGTGGTGCTTGCGTGTAGAATGCCATTTTCTCCTTCTTGTTGCCTCTTTTGTTGTACAGGTCGATCTCCCTTTGTTCGGAGAGGAGCGAGGCGCAGAGGGAAGTTTCGCAGAGGGTTTCCTGCGTGCAAAGGGGCGACTTGCACTGGCTCCATTCCGGACTCAAACCAGCAAGAATGATGGTGACGAACATGTCGTCAGAGAAGTTGCCGCCGCTTTTCCTGAATTGGTCTCTCAGGGTTTCTGCAGCGGTTGATGCATGGTCCGGCCTTTTCGCCGGGAAACATCTTTACGTTGTTCAGCCGGTTGAGAAGGCGACTAAGTGTCACCAAGTCTGTTGCCATGTGGCATGTGTGCAGATGTTCCCAGGATTGTTGCGCGAGTGCCCACTCGTTCTTGAAGGGGCGAATGCTCAGTTCTTCTTCGGTGGACAGGTTCCGAATCAATACTGTGAAGGCCGGGAGCAACTCGTTGTAGTACTGCGTCTTCTTCTGAGGTGAGCCGTTGGTCGGAAATGCGTATGACCCGTCGTAATACATCCAGATCTAAGTGCCTTGAGCCAGCAGCTCGAATTCGAAGCTCCAGGTGTAGAAGTCTTGCCCGTCGAAGGTCTTCGTTGTCATGAGCTTCGATGTTGAGAGAAATTTACTATGCATTGACGCCATTACTTCGTAATGCGTCTGTTGTGCTTGTGCAGATCCTTGGGCTCCGCGGTTGTCGAAGGTGAAGGATCGTTCAGATCTAGCTCCTTGAGGATTGGGAGGTCTTCGAGCGTAGCTGGAGCCGTCGATGCTCATCGGCTGATGGCTCTTCAGGGTGCTGATGCGGGAGATTAGCTGCTCGAGGAGCGCCGTATCCACGGTCGTTGTTGTAGAAGCGACATTGGTGGAGGGTTGTACTGGATTTTCTCCAGTCTCTCCGCAGTCTGCGCCTGGCATGTTGTTGCCCTTGATGTAGAGATAAGTTATAATGTAGCTTGCTGTTGAAGCCTTTTAGAAGTTCCTATAATCCTAACTAGCTCTCATACCATGTTAGAGTAAGGATCTTGGATAGGATAGGAATGCCTTAGAATAGTTTGGTAGCGGAAGTCTTTGTTGTAGGAACTCTGATCATGGTGAATGTAGATGACAAAGTTGATAAAAACATAAAATTACTCACTATAAATAGATCTAGCTGGCCATGTTCTATGAGGGGTACATTCCCTTATTCTAACTGCTTTACAGGCAATTCCACAGTGACTCTGACTGTTGCACTTCTACTTGTTACCGAGTCGCTGCGTGTAACCGTACGCACAATTACGCATGTTGCCATTCCTTGATGGTAAGTCAATCGTCGGTCCAGATGGTCAACAGTCGCGACAGCTGACTCTTGCGACTGTTGATCTTCCTGTCATTGATACGGGCTGATCCGATACTGCTGCTAGTGCTGTTTTGATAATGACGGGTGCGATACTGCTGCACCTACATGAATGCCAAGTAAAATTCCCTTCATACTCCAACAGGCTACCCCACTACAGCCTACAAACATGCACTTGTATTTTGACAAATCAGCGTTGCCTTGATAACATGCATGACTAAAATTTGCCGCAAAAATCACGTGTGGCCATTTTGAACCCTAGTGTGACAACAGCTGACTAGTAACGGTCAAAACAAACGAAAACACGCTACTATTATGCAGGTTGTAAATGATACGATACAGCATAACACCCAATTAGTGTACTATACAATGCTGTGTGAAAGAATTGAGGAATAAATGAAAAAGGAAGAGAATGATTGCACTAGCAAGCAGTTGAGTACATATAGGAAACCCTAGATTGGGCTGTACTCACTATTGAGTACCCCACTGCAGGCTAGACAAATATGACATTCTGACACACCCCCATAGCCAAAGTGGGGTGTAATCAGCACAAGAAGCAAAGCAAAACAAAAGACAAGCTCAGGGTGGATCACAATGTCATCACACATTCTGAGCACAAGTAAGCAAGCAATAGTTCACAATAATAGTAAGCAAAGCTAGAAGCTATCACAGAGGGCAAGTGTGGAGGAGGAGGGACTATGAGAGGAGAGGAGGTAGTGGGCGGCAGCTGAAGCTGCTGGCACACGGCGCAACTGGAGCAACTGGCACACGGGCAACTGGAGCAATTGGCACACTGGCAACTGGAGCAACTGGCACACGGGCTACTGGAGTAACTGGCTCCGCGGCTAACTCTGAGCGGCAGGAGCAACGGACTCACGGGCGACTGGAGCAACTGGCTCACGGGTGACTGGCGCAACGGGCTCACGGGCGACTGGCGCAACGGTCTCACGGGCGACTGGAGCTGTGGGCTTCACGGCGGCCACCCCCCTTCAACCTCCCCAAACTATCCCACCCCCCTTTCACACACCCCCTGCTGCACCTCTAGATTCACTTACACTCCACCCCCTAGCACCACTCCATCGTCTCCCACACACCCACCCCCCTCAGCGGCAGCAGCAGCAGTGGGAGACGGAGGAGGAGGAGGAGCAGGTGAGGCCGCACACCCGCCACCCCCTACACGCCACCCCCAAACCCTAACACAGGGCAGGGCCGTAGATGGCGGGTAGGGAGGGTAAGGGCGGGGGGGGGGGGGGGGGGGGGGGGGGGGCAGGGCCGCAACAGGGCCGGGGCAGGGCAGCTGCAGGGCAGGGCGCCATGACGAAGACGGCTGGCCCCCCTCCAGGGCGCCATGACGGGCGACAGAGGGGGGGGGGGGGGGGGGGGGGGGCAACGTGCGGCCCCCTAGGTCGCCCCTCCCGTCGCCTTTCGTGGCGACCTGGGGGGGGGCCGCGGGGGGGGCGGTGCGCGGGCCCCCGGTGCGCCGCGACAGGCATGAGGGGGGCGGGGCCGGGGCAGGGCCGAGACGGGGGGGGGGGGCCTGCGACGGGGGGGGCCGCGACGGGGGGCCGCGACGGGGGGCCGCGACGGGGGGCCGCGACGGGGGGCCGCAACGGTGGGCCGCGACGGGGGGCCGTGACGGTGGGCCGCGACGGGGGGCCGCGACGAGGGGGGGGCCGCGACGGGGGCCTGCGACGGGGGGCCGCGACGGGGGGGAGGGGGGGGGGGGGCGCGACGGGGCCGTTACGGGGCCGCGACAGGCGACGGGGCAGGGCCGGGGCAGGGCCGCTACGGGGCCGCGACAAGCGACGGGGCAGGGCCGCGACGGGGCTGTGACGGGGCCGCGAAGGGGCCGCTAAGGGGCAGGGCAGGCCGCTAAGGGGCCGCGAAAGGGTAGGGCAGGCCGAGCGCGAAGGGCGCTTCGGGCAGGTGAGGAAAAAAAAAATTAACGGTGGGCCCTTAGGGAGGAACGGTCCCAGTAGGGAACCCGCTCTATACCATGTGAAAGAATTGAGGAATAAATGAAAAAGGAAGAGAATGATTGCACTAGCAAGCAGTTGAGTACATATAGGAAACCCTAGATTGGGCTGTACTCACTATTGAGTACCCCACTGCAGGCTAGACAAATATGACATTCTGACATGCTGAACGAGTGCATTTTTATTAAAACGGAATACAAACATTACTCCACTAATTAATTACTATTATGAACCCGCAATGGTCTATGTGAGCATAGTTTGTCTAACAAAATTCATCATAAATAAACAAGACCCATTTGAATAATTTAAGTGCTAATACAATAAAAATTTATGGAAGATTGAGATACCAGTAGCAGACCAGCCAGAAACAGTAAAAAAAAAGGAATAAAAATAACACAATACAACTAAGAAAACACCAAAGGCACCCATTTTCAAATTAACATACGACAAACTGTACAAGAAACAATTCAGTTGACGAAATTTCTAGCTAACATGTAACCACATCGCCCCCGCCGCGACTGCAATACTGAACCGCCCTAAATCGGCAAAACCCAGGCAGGCATTAGGGAGACACGTGGCACAGAATTTGTGCAATCTGTGGTGGTAACCCATCCGAATCAGCTCGACACAGACGCACCAGCAAACAATCAAACCACACCAGTCAGCCCGATTCGAAGCCAACCCACGCGGAAAATATGCCATCCGTCACCAGATCCTTCCATGGACAAAACTAGCACAAAACCTGCAGTTTGCATTCCCCCCACGGACCACGGACTGGCGTTTTTTAGTACCTTACTTCCGTGAGATGCAAGTCGCAGCTCGTCTCGCTGCGACGGTCGAACATTAGGGTAGTTGCATATTTGTTAAAGCACGAACACATAAGAAAACTAGGTCCACAACTGCATGAGTGCATCGCCCATTCACCTCATTGGTCTGTTGACAGCTATGATGTGACTGCGACCACCATGCCGTCACTTCTCTCGCACATTGCGCCGCCTTGCTGCTCGCCTGCGTGCCGCCTTGCCTCGCCCCTCGCCTCGCCGCTCTTCCTCCCCGACTCTACCCCCCCGACATCGCCTCATAGCCTCGCTCAGCATCGCCGCCTAACCCCAGCGCCGCCTCCCACGGCGCGCCATCGCCTTCGTCTCTCGCTTTCCTTCCCATCCGCCTCCCCGCCCATGCTGCTGCGCCACCCTTTCCCCGCCTCCACCCCCACCCAGTGTCCCTCGTTCCGCCCTTCCGCCGCATCGTCACGCATCCGTCGCCTTTCCCCCGCACGGCGGCGCGGAGCGGGAGCGGCGGTAGCGGAGGCAGCGGCGGGCGACGGGGCGGGCGACGTGCAGACATTCATCCTCACGGCGGGCGCACTCGCTGCCGCCGCCGTCTCCCTGCGACTTGCGCTCAAGGTGCCGCTCTCCGCGCACCCACTCCGCGCACCCACTCCGCCACCCCTTCTCTCCCCGCTGCTCGTCCTCTGGACGCCCCCCCCTTCCAATGCCCTCCCCTCCTCACACCTACGTTTCTTCTCTGGCTTCCGTGCTCGCTGCACACATGCTCGCTGCACGCATGCTCGCCACGCCTCACACGCTCGCCCGGGGTCACTCACTATGCGCCTCCTATCTGCCTGCTCCTCTCTCCTGTGCCCCGCATTCTCTCCTGCGCCCCGCATGCTGTCCTGTGCCCATGCCCCGCCGTTCCGCATGCAATGCTGGCAGGGCGACCCGGTGCCGTGTGCCAAGTGCGGGGGAAATGGTGAGAGCTGCTTCTCATACACCTCACTGTATGTTTTTTGTGAATTCTCATACACCTCACTGTATGTTTTTTTAGAATTCTCATACACCTCACAAAAAACATATGCCGTGTGCCAAGTGCGGGGGAAATGGTGAGAGCCATCTCATACACCTCACTGCCATGCCACCCCACGAAGCCTCTCGTCACTCTTCATTTTTTCACATGGCGCCACATAACATCTTGATGCAATGCAATGGCGCCATGATGTAGCACCTTGATGCGATGGCACCATGGCACCCCATGGCAGCACTGCTGCCGTCGGCCCCTCCTGCGTCTTCCTGCATCTCTCTGACGCTCAATCTCAGGTTGCTCCCTGCACTTTCCCATATGTTTCCGTCCCCTTTCCACCTCGTCACCCCCGTTCTCTGTCCCTCCTCTGTGCATGTGGCGGGGCTGGCAGGAGGCACGGCGTGTGTGTTTTGCGAGGGGGGCAAGATGGCCGGCAAGGATGGGCGCCTCATGGACTGCCGTGTGTGCAAGGGGGCAGGTGAGGGCGCATGGGGGCAGGTGAGGGCGCATGGGGGCAGGTGAGGGCGCATGGGGGCAGGTGGGGCACATAGGGGCAGGTGGGAGGTGAAAGGGGGCAGGAGGGAATCGTAAGGGCCAGGTGAGTTTCTAAGGGGCAGAGAGAGAGGGGGAGGAGATGCAAGGGGGCAGGGTAGGGGTGTTTATGGGAGCAAGGAAGGTGTGAGGAGGTGAGTAAACTGTGCATGTACAGGCTCTTGGCTGAATCCATCCACAGATGTGTGAGGTTGAATAGCAAGTAAAAAGGGGTTTTTCCAGCCTTTGACCGGTGGAATAGCCCCTCATAAGCCTTCCTCCTACCTGTCACCTAGTTCTGTAGCTAGTTCTGTATGGTATTCCCACTGCAGCATTGATAAAACCTCCTTGAATCTGCTCCTTTTCCTTGCCGCCTGATGTGCAGGATGTTGGGCTGAGTGCCCCTTAGGATCTTTGGTAGGGTTAAACTCTGGGTAGAGTGATGTAGTAGCGGAAGCGTTTAAATGAAGTCCTTGAACCACCTTGCGCTGGTATGTGAGGGCAAAGTAAGTTGATTAAAACAAGCAAGTACAAAGGTTTATATAAGAGTACAAAGAATACGAAGAGATATAATTAAACTGTTTTACTGTTGCGGTTCGATACAGTGCGACTCGGGCAACTGCTCAATGTCGAGTCAGTTGTGTGTCCTTGCTGTCGCGCTGCATTTGTCAAGTCAAAGGTCGCTGACCTTTGACTTTCGCGTAACCTCCAGCGGTTACTTCAACCTCCGAGGGTTGACTCGCTGGTGCCTCGATATGCTCTGCTTCGCTTGTGCATTGGTGTTTCGACACGACAGAGGCGCTTAAGATTGTTTGTTCCCAACACTCCCCTTCGCTTCTGGAGTGTCGCTGCTGGTGACGTGGCTTTGTCCAGTCAGCAGCATGCAGTACTCGAACTTCTGTTTTCCGAGCTTCTTGGTCAAGTAGTCAGCTGCCATCTCGGACGTGGGACAGTAGGATAGTTCAAGTCTCCCCTTCTCAATCTCGTCTTTCACGAAGAAATATCGCAGAGCGATATGCTTCGTTCTGTTCGCGAATCCATTTTTGTTGGCGATGCGAATTGCAGATTGGTTGTCGCAGAACAGAGTGAAGTTGGGTAACTCGGCTAACTTCGCTTCTTCCAGCAGCTCGCGAAGATAGAGTCCTTCCTTGGTGGCTGAGCAGAGTGCAATATATTATGCTTCAGCTGACGAGAGAGCAATTAATTCCTGCTTGCTCGATTGCCAGGAGATCGGTCCGATAGGTTCGAGGCGGTAGATGTAGCCGGTGCGGGAGCGCCTGTTGTCGGAGTCGCCAGCGTGATCAGCGTCGACGTAGCCGATTAATTTAGTCGGTGTAGTTGTGTTCTTGTAGTAAGTTAGGCCGATCGTTGAGGTACTGACGAAGTAGTGGAGAGCGCGGTCGAGCTCCGCCAGGTGTTCTGCTTCAGGCTTCTTGAGGTAGGTGGCGAGCTGGCTTGCGGAGTATGAGAGGTCGGGGCGGCAGGTGACAGCTGCGAAGAGAAGGCATCCTAGCTTTCTCTGGTAGTCGCGTATCCCGGCGGATTTGAGTAGAGAGGATCCTTCCTTGTGGTTTCCTGTCGCGTAGCGGTAGGGCGTAGAGATGGTGGTAGGTGTGAGCGCGAAGCGTTTGGCGATGGTGTCGGCGTACTTAGCGGCGTTGAGGTAGATCGCGCCTTCTTCTTCCCGAATGTTCAAGCCGAGGTACTGTGTGACGGTAGAGGAGACCGTGAGTGTGAGGTCCCTCTGTAGCTCCCCTTCGAACCAGGTGGTGATGTCGTCAGTGGAGCCGATGTAGAGTATGTCGTCTACGTAGACGATCAGCAGAATGTAGTCGGTGTCTTCAGTGAGTCGGTACATTCCTTGGTCGTGAGGTAGTTGGCGGAATCCGATGCGAATGAGGTGAGCGTGTAGGTACTGTTGCCATAGCCGCGGAGCTTGCTTGATCCCGTAAAGTGATTTCAGCAGTTGACAGACTTGGTTAGGTTCCCCGTTGGTACCGTGTGGGAGCTCGACGAAGATTTCCACGTCGACAGGTGCGTAGAGGAACGCGTTGGCGACATCGATTTGCCGTAGCTTCCTTTTCTTCATGGCGGCGATCGCGAGGAGGATTCGAAGTGAGGTATGTTGGCTAACCGGGGCGAATGTCTCGGTGAAGTCCCGTCCGTGCTCCTGATCGAATCCACGCACAACCCAGCGTGCTTTGAACTTCTCAATTGTGCCGTCTGCTTTTGTTTTAACGCGGAAGACCCATTTCCCGGTGAGAATGGTCTTGTTCCTTGCCACGCTGATGGGGACAACTTTCCAGGTGTTCCGTTCCTCCAACGCCTTTAACTCTCTGTCCATGGCTTCACGCCATTTTTCCCTGTGTTCCCCCCCCAGAGCCTGCTGAACCGTCGCAGGCTCCTTAGGAAGAGTGTTGCCGTGGACTGCAGTGACGAGTCCGAGAATCTGCAGTCCAGTCTGTGAGTAGTGGGGAAGAGTTGCATCCTCGGGATAAGCTGCTTCATCTCCCGCTTCTGGATCAGGTATGAAATTCGGTCCTACTCGTTCTGCTTCGTTGGTGTTGACTGTCGCAGGTGTTACGTAACCGTTGTCGGCGAAGTAGTAGAAGGTTTCGGCGTTGACACTTTCGCGAGGGTTATCTTCGTCCATGGGGACGTCGACGGAGCAGAACGGAAAGGGTCCAGCTTCTTCTGATGCGTTGACCACATTCTGCTCGTCCCAGTCAGCTTCGTCTGCTGCCGAGGCGAAGGCTCGGTCACCACGAAAACCACCTGTGGGATCTTGGTCCTCTTGCAGGTTGGCAAGGTATGTCTGGAGCGTGAGTCGTTCGTAGAAAATGACGTCGCGTGCTGCTACTGTTTCCTTGGAGTGGACGTCAAAGATTTTCCACGCGTTGTAGTTCTTTTCGATGCCGAGGTGTAGTCCCCACTGTGCGCGTTGTGAAAATCGGCCCGCTCGTGCTGCTGGGGGTCGGTACTGTACCATGCATCCGAACACTCGTAACATTTTTGTGCTGCCCTGTTTTCCTGTCCACAGCAGATGCGGTGATGCGTTGTTCGGTAGTGATGAAGATGAGAGCAAGTTGTGCAGCATGACAGCGTGGTCCATCGCGTCAGGCCACTGGTGGTTGGGTAGCCGCATGCCACGCAACAGTTTGCGCATGCTGTTCTGCAGAGTCCTGTTCATTCTTTCTGCTACACCTTGCTGCTGATGGGCGTAGGGAAGAGCGAGGAGCTGCTTGATTCCCCTTTCCGCCAGGTACTGCTTGAATCGCTGAGAGGTGTATTCTCCTCCTCCGTCAGACTGGAAGCTTTTCAGCTTTACGCCCGACTCTCTTTCTGCTACTGGTAGCCAAGCAGCGAATGCTTCGAGGACCATGTCGCGGCTGGGTAGGTTTAGATGCCAGACGTAACGGGTGGCGGCGTCGATGAAGGTGATTGTGTAGTTGTATATTACTTGTCCTGGTTCCCGATTGTACAGGATGTCGCTATACACCTTTTCGAGTGGTGCGTACGCGGGTGTGCTTGGGTTGTGATGAGGAGTGAACGGCCGATGTGGTAAGTCGGCTTCGGGGCAGGTAAGACATGTTCCTCGTGCCCGTTGAAGTTCTCTGCCGTCGAGTAGTAGTAACGAGTCCTTGTCAAGGACTCCTGCTCTTATTGTGTTGTTTAACACAGTGTTGCTTGGGTGTCCCATGCGTGCGTGCCAGATGTCTTCGGAGGCGCGGTGTCCGGGTGAGCGTCGATACGCGTCGGAGTTGGAGTAGAAGCTGGCGGTGAAGTTTGCGCTTCTATGGACTTCCCGTTGAGCCGGATTCAGCTGCTGTGCGGGTGTTGGTGGTGCTTCGTCAACGAGGAGTGGTGTCGTTGTTGCTGCTACTGTTGTTGTTCCTGCTACTGCCGATGATGTCTCTGCTGCTGCCGATGATGTCTCTGCTTCTGCCGATGTTGTCTCTGCTGCTGCCGATGTTGTCTCTGCTGCTGCCGATGTTGTCTCTGCTGCTGCCGATGTTGTCTCTGCTGCTGCCGATGTTGTCTCTGTTGCTGCCGATGTTGTCTCTGCTGCTGCCGAATGTTGTATTGTTACTAACGCACGTGTTCGTTCTGCTTCAGGAATGGTATGTGAATACCAAAAGCCTTCCGGACTGAAGTCGGGGTCGAGATCCGGCGGGTGCGTCCAAGATGTGAAGGTGACGATCCCGTCACTGTCTGCGGTGCCCAGGTCTGGGACGAAATCGAGAACGAAGACATTGTTCTTCAGGACCGCCTTTCCGATGTAGAGGCCGCCCTTCCCGTGGTACAGCATGAACTCCTGGGTGGTACTGTCGGCTTCCAGATGTATGCCTTTCGCCATCAACTGACTGACGCTCAGTAAGTTGTAGCCAAGTCCTTCTGCTATTAGGACTTTTGACATTTGCAGTATGACATTCGTCTCTCGTGACTGAAGTTGCACTACTCCTTGTCGTCGTGTGCGCAGGTTCTGATTATTGGCGACAGTGATGACGACTTCTCGTTGAAGTTGGTGCTCGCGTTGAACGAAACGTCCTGAAGAGCACATATGTTGTCCGCAGCAACTGTCCAAGAACCATGTACCCTTCCCGGACGGCTCGCTTTGAGCGATGGCGGCGTACGTCGGGTTCGGTTGAAGTGACTCGCGGCGAGGCGTGCTGTTGTCGAGTTGTTCTTCTGGTGAGTAATATGGTGGTGACTCAGTTACGCAGGAGTCACCCAGCCTTGCCATGCAGCTGACGATGTTTCTTGTTCCTTTCGCATGTTGTCCCGTCGATGTTGTTGAGACTTGTACTGAAGTTGTCGGATTTGCTTGCGTTGAGGCGACTTGACTGCTTGAAGGGCGAAGTTGGCGTTGCGGCGACGTTGACTGTTGTCGATTCGGGCAGTGCGTACGAGGATGCCCTGAAGTCTTGCAGAGGTGGCAGAACGGAGGTACGATTTTCGGTCGATTGTTGTTGTTGTTGTGGCGCCGTTGAGTGTGAAACGCGAATTCGGGCACTGATACCTTTCTCTTGTGTCGTTCTTCTTGCAGGTCCATGTCTTGCTGCTCGGCGTGGATTTCGGCGCAAAGTGCTGCTTCAGAATTTTTCCCGTGGGCTCGTAGTATGGCGCGAGTGGAGCGCCAGTGAGGACCAAGACCGCCGATGACAACCGTGACGAAGGCGTCCTCTGAAATCGATCCTCCACATCGAAGAAGCTTGTCGCGCAGCTCGCGGCAGCGACTGATATACGCCATTCCCTTCTCGCCTGGTTTCATTTCGATTGTTGTCAGCTGCGCCATTAACCGACTTTGGTTTACGCTGTCTGTTGCTTGATACAGGCTCTTCAAGTGATTGTACGCGAGCTCCGCGGAGTTGCCGTAGCCTCGGTAAGACCGTATGTTTTGTTGTTGAGTTGGAGTGATGTTCCTCAGTAGTATCGTGTACGCCATCATCGATTGATAGGTGTACTGCTGCTTCTCATACTGTGTGCCGTTTGTTGGGTATGGCAGGGTCCCGTAGAAGAAGCCAAGGATTTGCGCTCCTTCCATCATCAGCTCGAATTCGAACGACCAGGTAAAGAAATCCTTCCCGTCGAAGGGTTTTGTCGTTTGCAGTTTTAGAACGTGCGCGAACTGCGACTGAACTTGTAGTGCGTCCAGCGTTCTCTCTTGTCCCGGTGCAGGTTGTGGTTGTGGCATGAAGCTGACGGAGCCGCGCTGGGGCTCGTACGGAGCGAAGGTAGGTTGCTGTTGTTGATTCCCGCGTGCGTAGGATGAGCCATCGTGACTCATGGGCGTCACGTTGTTGTTGTTGTTGCTGTTGTTTGATTGCGCAGGTGCTCCTTGCTGATGCTGCTCGTAGAAGGGCATGAAGGAGAAGAACTTCTCCATCATGCTTGGATCGAAGCCCGCGCCTTGGTTTGCGGGTGTTTCAGTAGACCCAGCTGCCGGTCTCGTTGTTGTGCCTTCCTCTGTCTGTAGGCCAGAGGCAGGAGGTGGAGTAGGAGTAGTACCAGGAGAGCCGTTGGAGGAGGTCCTCTCCTTTCTGGTAGACATGTCTCTTGGTGTATTAGGTGTTAAGGAGAAATAATTTTAACCCTAACCAACTCTCATACCATGTTGGGCTGAGTGCCCCTTAGGATCTTTGGTAGGGTTAAACTCTGGGTAGAGTGATGTAGTAGCGGAAGCGTTTAAATGAAGTCCTTGAACCACCTTGCGCTGGTATGTGAGGGCAAAGTAAGTTGATTAAAACAAGCAAGTACAAAGGTTTATATAAGAGTACAAAGAATACGAAGAGATATAATTAAACTGTTTTACTGTTGCGGTTCGATACAGTGCGACTCGGGCAACTGCTCAATGTCGAGTCATTTGTGTGTCCTTGCTGTCGCGCTGCATTTGTCAAGTCAAAGGTCGCTGACCTTTGACTTTCGCGTAACCTCCAGCGGTTACTTCAACCTCCGAAGGTTGACTCGCTGGTGCCTCGATATGCTCTGCTTCGCTTGTGCCTTGGTGTTTCGACACGACAGAGGCGCTTAAGATTGTTTGTTTTCAACACAGGACTGGTCTTTTGCAAAGAATGTAAGGGCACTGGATATGTGAAGAGATTGTAACAAGGATGATACTAACTATCCAACGACCTTAGCCTTGGACGCGACACTTGTCGTAGTCGTGATGCAACCGTGCAGAACCACATTGAGCATTGCACGCACTGCACTTAAGTAGCACACAGTGGAAGTGGTGTAGAACTACACGTACAGCACCGATCCGGAAACTTCACGCAGCACCGATCTCTGAGTGCAGTTCTAGCTTCAGGCCTGTCAGTGCTGTACGAATTTGTGTCTCATTAGTGGTACGTCCTTTCTAGGTTCACATTCTGCTTTGTAAAATCGATTTACAATAGTGTGCATGGCACTGCAATGCACTTCTTCAACCACTTTAAACCGCTACTCACCTGCCTGAACACTTCTGCATGATCTGCACAGGAACTACTGTGTTCCGACCTGTTCAAAAGCTGGTTGACATCCGGATTTGAGCGTCAGATTGAAGTGAACAAATATGGCGGAAAAGACGCGGGAAACTCGTACCGCGTCTCAAAATTGAAGTGGCGGGGGTTGAATTGTGGGGAAGCCATTGTCACGGTCGGTTCGGTTTGTTTTTTTATTTCGAGGTTTGGGTTCGGTTCTGATGGTTTCGGTAAGGTCACATGCAGACATGCAAAAGCCATGCAAACACTTGTCCAAACCACTGCACACGACGAACTCTGACCTCGCTTCCTTGCTCGGCTCGAACACTCCAACACCACAACCTCCATCTCCATCCGCGGATCCATGGCTCCTCTCCAAAAATATATGGCAGTAATCCAAGCAGTATCAGCTCACAGCAAGCACGGCAATCCTTTCTAGTCGTACCACCAACGTTTTCTTATTTTTCTTGCTTCTGCAGTTTGAACAGACATCCTTTTTCCCTCCCGTTTCCACTGACGCAAGTTTTGGTGCGGATAGCATAGTAGGTGCTGAACATTTCGTTCAGACGCCCTGCTGCCAGAAATATATCAAGATCATTTTTTTTTTCTGAAAGTACACCGTTCCTTACTGTCACATCATCTTCTTTGTAGAATCATCTCCTGCGTCCAGATTAGCCACACGCTGGTGGTAGCGTTTCCATGATGTCGACCCTTTATGTCATGAAGGTGAGCAGGATTTTTCGTTACCCTGTGCTGTCAACACGTCGTTAGGTAGATTAGTGCTCTCCAGATCCCTCCTTCCTCTTACTTTCCCCTCCCTTCTCGCTTCAGTTTGGATTGCTATCCCATTATTTTTGCCGGTTCAGATGGCTTTTACTAGTTCTTCTCGGTTCAATCAAGCTAAGTCACTTTTACAGGACAACGGGGCGACGCTCCTTATCCCCCGTGGATGAGCTGCGAGACGCAACTCGTCGCGTTGCGATGCACTTCTCTGCTCCTACCGCTTCCCACCCATTTAACTTAGGCAAAACCATTGCTTTGTTCCCCAGCCCCATTTCCCCACTCCCTGCACTCTCCCCATCTTCCTCCACTTTTCTTACCTTTCTTCTCTCTTCACCCCTTCAGGTCAACTGCGACGGCGTGTTGCGTCGCATCTCGTCCCGCTGCTCCCCTCCGTCCTTCCGCAACGTCAGCCTTCGAATTCGTGCGCTCCTTGATATCCCCGCCAGTAAGCCGATCTCGCTGACGTACACAGACACAGACGGTGACGTCATCACGCTCTCCACGGACGATGATCTCCACGATGCATTCGTTTTTCAGGAGCTGAATCCGTTGCGTGTTGACGTGGTCGTTGACGGAAACGCTGATGGAAACGTTGATGCCGACGCTGACGTTGACGTTGACGCGATCGCTGGCATTAGCAATTACGGCGACTTGACAATTGTCAAAGTGACGGATTCTGTTAAGTCGTGTTCCCTTCCAACCGTCAGCACGTCGGTTGCTCTCAGCACTGACGACGTTCCCCCCCTTTCCTCGTGTTCTGCAAAAGACTTCAATGCTTCATCCTCCCTCTTGGGAGCTAGTGGTGCCTGTGGTTCTGCTCCGGGAAACACAGCTACCACCGATGCCACGGTCACTGCTGCTTCAGGAAAGGCAGTTACCACAGGTACCACCGTTCCTGCTGATTCGGATGAAGCAACTGATAAAGATTCAGTTGCTTCTGAATCCACCGTGACTGCTGGTTCCGGATTGCAACCAGCATATACGGGCGGCTCACCAGCATCTGCTGCTGTATCTGGTGCTACTGGTGCTGTAACATCTGCTGCTACCACTCCATCTGCTGCTACTGATTCGCCTGCTGCTACTGTATCACCTGCTGCTGCCGTTCCGTCGTCTGCTGCTACCGTTCCATCTGCTTCTACCGTTCCATCTGCTGCAACCGTTTCATCTGCTGTTACCGTTTCATCTGCTGCTACCATTTCATCTGCTGCTGCCGTTTCATCTGCTGCTGCCGTGTCATCTGCTACTGCAGCTGCTTCTTCCCCTGCCAGTGTCACCGCTCCTGCTTCCAAGCCTGCTGTTGGTGGCTTCGCTGCTTTCGCTGCCACTCCTGGTTTTGCTGCTTTCGCCGCCGCTGCCGCTGCTGCTGCTGGTGCTTCTACTCCTGCCACTGGAACAACGTCTTCTAGCACTGCCACCGCCACGCCTAACATTGCCACTGCTGCTTCTAGCACTGCCACTCCAGCCACTAGCACTTTATCCGAGTTTGGTGCTTCCGCCCCTACTTCTGGCGCATTCTCTTCTCTCCCTGGTTTTGGCAGCACAAAGGCAACTGCTAACTCGTTCTCTGCAAGCTGCACCGGGCTGACTAAGACAGCACTGGGACTCTCCAAGCCACTAATGACTGGTTCTTCTTCAAGCTTGTCCTCCTCTTCGCCTGCTTCTTTCGCTACCCCGTCTGCTCTCAACAACACAGCTGCAGCAACACCCCTCTCCTCCAAGCCCCTGGTATCTGACCCTTCGTCTGCCTTTGGCTCATCTGCTCCGACTGTGCCTTTCCCGTTTCCGCCCAGCAACACAGCAACAGCAACATCCCTCTCCTCCAAGCCCCTGGGTACTGGCCCTTTTTCCGCCATTAACTCATCTGTTCCTGCTGCAGCTTTCCCGTCTCCGCCCAGCAACACAGCAGCAGCAGCACCACTCTCCTCCAAGCCCCTGGGAACTGGGCCTTTTGCTGCTTTTGGCTCATTTGCTCCTACTGTGGCTACCCCGGCTCATCCCAGCAACACAGCAACAGCAACGTCCCTCTCCTCCAAGCCCCTGGGAACTGGGCCTTTTTCCGCCATTAACTCATCTGCTCCTGCTACAGCTTTCCCGTCTTCGCCCAGCAACACAGCAACAGCAGCGCCTCTCTTTTCCATGCCTCCAGTCGTCACTGCTCCTCTGAGATTTTCTAACTTCGCTCCTGGCGCAGCCTTTCATCCCACGCAGCCCTCTGCCACACTATGGATTGCCAAGTAGTTGCCGTTTCAGTTTCTCCTGGTTCCTCCCTTGCCCTGCTGTTTCCGCCATTTCCCTGCTGCTTTACGCCTTTGACCTGCTGCTTTCCGCCGTTGCACTCCTGCTATTGCCACCTCAGCTGCAGCAACAAGCCTCTCCTCTCCAAGCCCCCAACATCCCCCGTTTTATCTGCTCGTTCTCTGAGCTCTTGCACCCTTCATCCCTGGTGCAGCCTTCCATCCCACCCAGGCCCCTGCCATTCCATTGTATTCCAGGTCCCCAAATCCTTCTGCTGCTGCTGCTTTTGGCCATTCTGCTCCTGCTTTTGGCCATTCTGCTCCTGCTTTTGGCACTTACTCCTGATTTTGCTTCAGCAGTAACAGCAGCCAGCTTCTGGTCCTGCCTTTGGCACTTCTCCTCCTGCTTTTGCCGCTTCATCAGAAACAGCAGCAAGCTGCACCTGCTCTGGGAAATTTTACCGTCAAATAATGCCTTTTCTCCCATTCAGGGGATGCATTGGCAGGCCAAATAATGCTGCTCCCTGTAGTATGGCTCAGCTGAGGTAAAAGAATGTATCATGGGTGCAATGCTTGTACAGGCCATTGTAAGGTTGTGAATTCAGTCGTTGTGCAGTGTGTTAATTCTGATATGAGTTTGTCAACCGAGTAGAAACCTTGTGTCGCATCAAACTATACCGTGTGGAACGAGGTTATGAATGAAACATCGGGGCCTAGCTAACCGTCCGATGGTGTAACTGTTGAGACAACATTGTCAGACATTTCACTAACATCCGTTGGATCGCGCGCGGGCCCTAGGTTTGGTCGCGACCATTCCGTATTCGTCGTCTCCGTACCGCACCCCCGCATCACCACGCCCTCCCCTCCTTGGTCTTTCCGCTCCCCTTTTCCCTCCCTCTTCTCCCTCCCCCCAGGTCAACTGCAATGGCGTTTTGGGTCGCATCTCGTCTCGCTGCTCCCCTCCGTCGTTCCGCCACGTCAGCCTGCGAATTCGCGCGTCTCTCGAGATCCCCACCAGCAAGCCTCTCTCTCTCTCACGTACACAGACACGGACGGTGACATCATCGCGCTCTCCACGGACGAAGATCTCCACGACGCGTTTATCTTCCAGGAACTGAATCCGCTACAAGTGGACGTTAACGTAGACGTTGACGCTGACGCGGACATCAACGTAGACGCGGACGCTGACGTTAGCGTAAACGTTAGCGTTGACAATGACGCCTTGAAGGCGAACGCCGAATGCCCCCGTTCAACTGTCAGCATGTCGGTTGCTATCAGCACGGACGATCTGCTCCCCCTTTCCTCGTGTTCCGAACAGGATGCTGGTGTTCTATCCTCCCCTCTGGTAGCTACTGGTGCCGTTACTGCTGCTCCTGCCGTTACTGCTGCTCCTGCCGTTACTGCTGCTCCTGCCATTACTGCTGCTCCCGCCGTTACTTCTGCTCCTGCCGTTAGTGCTGCTCCTGCCGTTACTGCTGTTCCTGCCATTAGTGCTGCTTCTGGAAACGCATTCAGCACTGATACTACGATCACTGCTGCTTCAGGAAAGGCTGTGACCAGTGGTACCACAGTTGACGCTATTTTGGTAGAAGCGGTTTCTGCTGAGACCAATGCCACAGGGACAGAGGCTGCCTCTACGACCGTTGCTGCTGTTCTGGAAAAGCCAGCTGATGGTGCTGTTGCTGCTGCGAAGGCGTTTACTCGTGATACTATGGTGGCTGCTACTTCTGGAATCACAGTTACCACTGATGATACTACCACCGTGACTGCTGATTCAGAAAAGACTGGTACTGTTGATCCTACGATTGCTGCTGCAACCGATACAATCGTTGGTGCAGATTCTGGAAGAGCAGTTGCCACTGATACCACCACCGTGACTTCTGTTTCGGTAAGGGCTGGTACCCCTGAACAGGGGCAACTGATACAAGCATTGCTGCAGATTCTGGAAGAGCAGCTACCACTGATACTGCTACCATGGTTACTGTTTCGGACAAGGCTGGTACTTCTGAACCTACGGTTAATGCTGCTCCAGGAAATGCAGAGGCAACTGGTTTAAGCATTGTTGCAGATTTTGGAATAGCAGATACCACTGATTCTACTACCGTGGCTACTGTTTTGGACAAGGCTGGTATCGCTGATCCTACGGTCGCTGCTTCTCCAGGAAAAGCAGTTGCAACTGATACATGCGTTGCTGAAGTTACCACTGATATCACTACCGTGACTTCTGATCTGGAAAAAGCTGGTGCTGCTGTTCCCATGGTTGCTGCTACTTCAGGAAAAACAGTTGCAGCTGATACAAGTGTTGCTGCAGATTCTGGAAAGCAGTTACCACTGACACTACCGCTGCCGCTGCTTCAGGAAAGGCAGTCACCACTGACACTACCGCTACTGCTGCTTCAGCAAAAGCAGTTAGCACTGACACTCTGTCTGTTGCTGCTTCAGGAAGAGCGGTTACCACTAATTCTACAGTCGATGCAGTCTCAGGAAAAGCAGTTACCACTGACTCTACCGCTGCTGCTGCTCCAGGAAAAGCAGTTACCACTGACTCTACTTCTGCTGCTGCTACAGGAAAAGCAGTTACCACTGACTCTACTTCTGCTGCTGCTTCAGGCAAAGCAGTTACTACTGACAGTTCTTCTATTGTTGCTCTAGGAAAAACAGTTACCACTGACATTACCGCTACTGTTACTCCAGGGAAAGCAGGTACTACCTGTCAACAGGAGTTGTTGTTGGCCCCGTCCTCGCTTGGGCGGAGCCGACCTCGGGGTCGGGTGTGAGGAGTGCAGCCGACCTGCAACAGTGGGCGAGCTGGTCGACGGGTCTGGTCGGGCTAAACCACAAGAGTTTCACTAGCAAAAGTTGAGAACAATGGTTAGCAACTAGATTGGCAAGGTAGACTACATCAAAAGCCTAGCATATCAGCTCAGCACGAAGACGACTTGCTAGCTGATCGACCTTAGGCGTCCTCAGGCGTCTTCAGTCGATCTCTGCCCTGCCTACACAGCTGCGTTCACACACAGCTAAAAGCCTGTGGGCAAGAAAGAGGGAATCGTGCCGCCGCTCTTGGGGAACAGCAGCAGCAGGCTGCAATTCAGCAGCATCCACGCGAGCACGAGCACGAAGCAGCACGCACTAGATTCCTTCACACATACAGCTAAAAATCCGTGGGTAGGAAGGAAGGAAATGGGCCGCCACTCTTGGGGAAGAGCAGCAATATACTGCCATTCGGAAGCTTCGATGTGAGCACAAATTGCCATATTAGATTCCTGCTTCATGCCTCAACACTTGCCTTATCCCACAACTAGAAGTCCGTGGGCAGGAACGAGGGGAATGTGCCACCACTCTTGGCAGCAGCAGCAGTAGACTGTTGTGCAGCAGCAAGGAGATTTCTGAGACGACTCAAAAGTCCGTGGGTAGGAACGAGGGAAACGTGCCACCACTCTTGGGTAGCAGCAGCAGCAGACTGCCATTCAGCAGCATCCAGGCGAGCACGAATCGGCCTCTGCCAAGTGGCGAGAGATGGGAGCTCCTCACTGTTGCGGAAGGCGAGGATGATGAAAGCCCAGAAGAGGCAGAGCACACTGCCTGAAAAGCCTCCCAGGGCTAGAAGCGCTAGAGTGATAAGTGTTGTTATCTTGGCTTTGCGCCGACCGAATAGTGCCTGGGAACAAGGGAAGGGGACGGGATGCAACGGCAAGAAGGCGAGGATGATGAAGGCCCAGAAGAGACACAGCACACTGCCGGAAAATCCTCCGAGGGCTAGGAAGGCTAATGTGATAAGAGTAGTGAACTTGGCCTTGCGCCTGCTGAATAGGGCCTGGAAGGAAGGGAAAAGGGGGGGATGACAAAGAGTAGGTTGGGACGGAAAGGATGATGAAGGCCCAAAGGAGGTAGAGCACTCTTAGGAGAGTGATGGTGATGAGGGAGAAACCACGTACCTGCACCATATGCACCCACCCATGGCACGCCCAGGCCCCCAGCAAACCTGTAAACGCTAGGATTGTTGACCCATATGCCTAAACCACCAGCACCCACCCACCTGCCCCGGCCCTCTGATCTGACTGACCCCACCCACCTGCCCCGGCCCTCTGATCTGACTGACCCCACCCACCTGCCCCGGCCCTCTGATCTGACTGACCCCACCCACCTGCCCCGGCCCTCTGATCTGACTGACCCCACCCACCTGCCCCAGCCCTCTGATCTGACTGACCCCACCCACCTGCCCCGGCCCTCTGATCTGACTGACCCCACCCACCTGCCCCGGCCCTCTGATCTGACTGACCCCACCCACCTGCCCCGGCCCTCTGATCTGACTGACCCCACCCACCTGCCCTGGCCCTCTGATCTGACTGACCCCACCCACCTGCCCCAGCCCTCTGATCTGACTGACCCCACCCACCTGCCCCGGCCCTCTGATCTGACTGACCCCACCCACCTGCCCCGGCCCTCTGATCTGACTGACCCCACCCACCTGCCCCGGCCCTCTGATCTGACTGACCCCACCCACCTGCCCCGGCCCTCTGATCTGACTGACCCCACCCACCTGCCCCGGCCCTCTGATCTGACTGACCCCACCCACCTGCCCCGGCCCTCTGATCTGACTGACCCCACCCATCTGCCCCGGCCCTCTGATCTGACTGACCCCACCCACCTGCCCCGGCCCTCTGATCTGACTGACCCCACCCACCTGCCCTGGCCCTCTGATCTGACTGACCCCACCCACCTGCCCCGGCCCTCTGATCTGACTGACCCCACCCACCTGCCCCGGCCCTCTGATCTGACTGACCCCACCCACCTGCCCCGGCCCTCTGATCTGACTGACCCCACCCACCTGCCCTGGCCCTCTGATCTGACTGACCCCACCCACCTGCCCCGGCCCTCTGATCTGACTGACCCCACCCACCTGCCCCGGCCCTCTGATCTGACTGACCCCACCCACCTGCCCCGGCCCTCTGATCTGACTGACCCCACCCACCTGCCCTGGCCCTCTGATCTGACTGACCCCACCCACCTGCCCCGGCCCTCTGATCTGACTGACCCCACCCACCTGCCCTGGCCCTCTGATCTGACTGACCCCACCCACCTGCCCCGGCCCTCTGATCTGACTGACCCCACCCACCTGCCCCGGCCCTCTGATCTGACTGACCCCACCCACCTGCCCCGGCCCTCTGATCTGACTGACCCCACCCACCTGCCCCGGCCCTCTGATCTGACTGACCCCACCCACCTGCCCCGGCCCTCTGATCTGACTGACCCCACCCACCTGCCCCGGCCCTCTGATCTGACTGACCCCACCCACCTGCCCCGGCCCTCTGATCTGACTGACCCCACCCACCTGCCCCGGCCCTCTGATCTGACTGACCCCACCCACCTGCCCTGGCCCTCTGATCTGACTGACCCCACCCACCTGCCCCGGCCCTCTGATCTGACTGACCCAACCCACCTGCCCTGGCCCTCTGATCTGACTGACCCCACCCACCTGCCCCGGCCCTCTGATCTGACTGACCCCACCCACCTGCACCATGTGCCATCCATCCAGCTGTCGCAGGCAGCAGATTCAGCGCTATAATCACAAATCCCAGCAGCCCTGTGAACGCCAGAGGTGCAACCGGCATTCCAAGGTCTAGCCCAGCAGCACCCACCTGCACCATGTGGCCCCATCCAGTTGTCCCGCAGGCAACATATTCAGCACTGTGATCACAAATCCTTGCAGCCCTGCGAACGCTAGAGGGTTGATGGGCACTCCCAGCCCCTCGACTGCCAACCCAGGCCAACTCAGGCCAACCCAGGTCGTTCTGGGCGAGCACCCAGTAAAAAAGCCAGAGGGTTAACGAGCACTCCCAGCCCCTCAGAAGGCCTGCAAATGCTACGAGTGTTGACCCATATGCCTAGCCCAGCAACATCCTCTGACCCCACCCACCTGCACCATGTAACCCCCATCCAATTGTCCGGCAGGCAGCAGATTCAGCGCCATAATGACAAACCCCAGCAGCCCTGAAAACGCCAGAGGGTTAACCGGAACGCCCAGCCCCTCGACAGCGTTGGGCATGACGTTGCCCAGGTCGTCAGAGAATGGGCCGATGATGCTCTGAATGACTCCTGTCAGCCGTTATCTGTGCACGGACCACCTGAAGAGGCGGAGCACACCGTTACCAGCTATAGAGGCTGTCTGCTCTGCAGCACCCACCCACCTGCACCATGTGCCCCCCATCCAGTTGTCCAGCAGGCAGCAGGTTCAGTGCGGTGATCACAAACCCCAGCAGCCCAGCGAACGCCAGGGGATTCACTGGTACGCCCAGCCCTTCCACGGCGTTGGGCATGACGTTTCCCAGGTCGTCGGAGTATGGCCCAATGACGTTCTGAATGAAGGAGAGCAGCAGGTTGGGCGCGAAGAACGATGGCTCGATGTACCTGGTGGGGCATGGGGGTGGGGGGGGGACCAGGGGGCGAGATAGGCAGAGAGAGGGTGGGAGGGGAGAGGGATGAAGGGAAGAGGGGTGGAGGAAAGAGGGATGAAAGGAAGAAGGGTGAAGGGAAGAAGGGCGCGAACGAGAGAGAGGGTTGACCGGTACCCCCAGCCCTTCCACGGCGTTGGACATGACGTTGCCCAGGTCGTCGGAGTGTGGCCCGATGATGTTTTGGATGAAGGAGAGCAGCAGGTTGGGCGCGAAGAACGATGGCTCGATGTACCTGGTGGGAGCAACGAGGGGAGAGGGGAGCCAGGGGAGTGGGGAAGGGGAGAGGGACAAGGAAGGAGCATGGTCCGATGATGTTGTGAATGAAGGAGAGGAGGAGATTGGGCGCGAAGAAAGACGGCTCGATGTACCTGGTGGGGAGATTGGAGGGGAGAGAGGGGGGAGAGAGAGGGGAGAGAGGGGAGAGAGGGGAGAGAGGGGGGAGAGAGTGGGGGGAGAGAGTGAGGGGAGAGAGTGGGGCAAGGACGGAGTATGGTCCGATGATGTTGTGAATGAAGGAGAGGAGCAGATTGGGAGCGAAGAATGACGGCTCGATGTACCTGGTGGGGCATGGGAAGAGAAAGATGGTGGAAGAGGGAGGGGCAAGGGGGGAGGGTGGGAGGGAAGACGACTGAAGGGAAGAGCGATCAAGGGGAGGGGTGTCAGGATGGCATTTGCTGATGGGGGATGCAAGGAGAGCGATGGAGAGGATAATGCGATTGGGGAAGGTGTAGAGGGGTGAAAAACAACGAATTATGAGGTGCCTAGACACGAATTATGAGGTGCCTAGACACATGCAAGGAGAGCGATGGAGAGTACTCCTAAGTACTTTCTTTTTATGACCCCTTTTGGTCGGCCATCTTAAACACATAGAATGCATTTAGGTGGACATATAGATTAACCTTTGAAAGTGCTCTCCTTCGATTGGTCTGGTCAATGCAAGTCAACGCAAGTCAACAAAGCAGGGACTTGTGTGGAGTCGATGCCCCCATCAGCTGCCAGCGCCACACACGCCAAAATGAATGAAGAGTAAGTCAAGGCATGTCAACGCAAGTCAAGGCAACTCCATGCAAGTCAAGGCAAGTCAAGGCAAGTCAACAGGGGCTCACATGGGGTCGATACCGGCGTCAACCCCCCAATCAGATGGCAGCGCCACACAGTCCAGAATGAATGGAGAGCAAGTCAACAAAGGAACTCACATGGGGTCGATACCACCGTCAACGCCCCCATCAGCTGCCAGCGCCACACATGCCAGAACGAATGACGTCATGAATGATCCCACTGCCTTGGCTGCACACATGTCAAAGAGGGCCTGGTGGTGATGGGGAGGGAGGAGAAGAGAAGGGGGAGAGAGAGTCATGAGTGACCCCATCGCCACACATGCCAGAACGAATGACGTCATGAATGATCCCACTGCCTTGGCTGCACACATATCAAAGAGGGCCTGGTGGGAGACGAGGGGGTGGAAGAGAAGGGGTTTGAGCTGTTGAGGAGAGATAATGGAGAGGAGCCTCAGGGAAGGAGAAGGGAGAAAGGGTCATGAACCCCTTCACGCTTGTAATGACACCATAAATGACCCCACTGCCTGGTGGGGGGAGAGACGGGGACGGAAGAGAAGGGGGTGGAGCTGTTGAGGAGAGATAATGGAGAGGAGCATCAGTGAAGGAGAAGGGAGAGAGGGCCATGAATGACCCTGACAGGCTGCACACATGTCGAAGGGGGCCTGGTGAGGAGAGAGGGGGTGGAGGGGGGGGCGAAGAAGAGAGGTGATGGAAACGATTCACGCTTGCAATGACACCATGAATGACCCCACCGCCTTGGTGCCACACATGTCGAACAGGGCCTGGTAGGGAGAGTGGGGAGGGGGGATTGGGAAGGGGAGGGGGGAGAAGGGGGTGGTGGGGTTTAGAAGAGAGGTAATGGAAACGATTCACGCTTGTAAAGACGCCATGACTGACCTAATTCCTTGCCTGCACACGTGTCAGACAGCGCCTGGTGCGGGGGAGGGGGCCGAGGGCGGGGGGGAGAAGAAGGGGGACCGATGTGGCCTTCGAAGGAAAGTAATGGAAAAGGTTTACACTAAAAAGGACGTCATGAATGACACGACCGCCTTGGCTGCACACATGTTGAACAGCGCCTGGTGGGGAGAGGGGGGAGGAGAAGGAGGAGGAGGAGGAGGAGGAGGAGGAGGAGGAGGAGGAGGAGGAGGAGGAGGAGGAGGAGGAGGAGGAGGAGGAGGAGGAGGAGGATTAGGCCTTTGAGGAGAGGCAAAGAAGAGGAGATAGGGTGGGGAGAGGCGACTGGCAGCCTAGCGGCCTCGGGAGGAGGAAAGACAGGAAGAGGTGCACATGTAAGTCCATTCCTCTCACTCCCTCGTACCATGCATCCGATTCCACCCCTCGTCTCACCACCTACCTGGGAGGAGGGCAGGAGGGACTCGAAGCGAGTGGCAGTGCCGTGGCAGCCCAGAGGGCCGGGGGGGAGGAGGTAGGGCGAAGAGAGGTGCACCCTAACCTGCTGCCCCTCTCCTACTCACTGCCTTACCCCCCAAATCACTCCCATGCCCCTCTTCCTACCACGTACCCGTGAAGACGGTAGGAGCGACTCGAAGCGAGTGGCAGTGCCATGGCAGCCCAGAGGGCCGGGGAGGAGGTAAGGCGGGGAGAGCTTTACCCCGTATCGTCCCGCCATAATACGTTGGAAGATCTGGAGTGAATTGGGTAGTGGGATGGAGGGACGGGAAAGAGACAACGAATGTGTGTGGAGCACGAGAGAAGGGAGGTAGGGCGGGGGGAGCTTGACCCTGTATCGCCCTGCCATGATACGTTGGAAGAGCTGGGGGTGGGAGTGGGGTTGGGAGAGAATGCAGGAAAGGGTTTTGGGAATGCAGATGAGGGAGGCAGCATCAGCAAGCACACTAGGGCGGGGGGAGGTTCACCCTGTATCGCCCTGCCATGTGATGCGTTGAATTGAAAGAGCTGGGGGTGGGAGTGGGTTGTGACTATGGAGGGGAGGGAGGAATGGGTAACGAGTGTGTGTGAGAAAAGGAGGGAGGAGGTAGGGGCGGGGATGAGCTGACTCCCCAACTCCATAAGCGTCGAGGTTGAAACCAGGGACGGTGGCAGTGGTGGCGAGGCAGCCCAGTGGAGAGAGGAGGGAGAGGGGGAAGATGGGGGCAGGTGGAGCGGTAGAGACTCTCCTCTCCCACACCGATGACTGTGGCAAGGCCGAGGGTTAAAGGCAGGGCGTGGTGAGCTGACTCCCCAAGCCCAACTTTATAGGGGTCGAGATTGACGCCAGAGACAGTGGCAGTGGTGGCGAGGCAGCCCAGGAGGGAGAGGAGGGAGAGGGGGGAGAGAGGGGAGGGGGGGGCAGGTGGAGAGTAGAGACTCACCTCTCCCACACCGATGACTGTGGCAAGGCCGAGGGTTAAAGGCAGGGCGTGGTGAGCTGACTCCCCAAGCCCAACGCCATAGGGGTCGAGATTGACGCCAGAGACGGTGGCAGTGGTGGCGAGGCAGCCCAGTAGGGAGAGCAACATGAGGGCAGTAGGAGAGGCAAGAGGAACAGGGCAGACGAAGCACTCACCTCTCCCACGCCAACAACTGTGGCAAGGCCGAGGGTTAAAGGGAGGGCGTGGTGAGCTGACTCCCCAAGCCCAACTTTATAGGGGTCGAGATTGACACCCGAGACAGTGGCAGTGGTGGCGAGGCAGCCCAGGAGGGAGAGCAGCATGAGTGGCCAGCGGGAGAGGCCGGTGAGAGTGGTGATGGTGAGACGATGATGAATGGATGATACTGGTTGCACTATGCACACCTGATGGGATTGGGTCAAGGGGGAAAAAGGGAGAGGCGAGGAAATGGGAAGGGGAGAGGGGAAAAGAGGGGACAGAGGGAGAGGAGGGAGAATGGCAGGAGAGGCAAGGAAAGAGGGGGACATGAGGATGAAGGCAGAGAAAGGAAGGAAGCAGTGGCAGTGGTGGCGAGGCAGCCCAGGAGGGAGAGCAGCATGACGGGCCAGCGGGAGAGGCCGGTGAGACTGGTGATGGACTTGATTTTTCCCTAAGAGACACCTGAGAGTGTTGGTCTACATCCCGCTCTCCACTTGCGCACCCACCTCCTCCTCTCTCCGCTCGTCCTTGAGAAAGAACACTGCCACGAGGGCCCCAGCACCCTCGCCCAGCTAAGAGTGTCACCAAAATGACTCCCCCTGCCCTGCTGGTGCCTCCCTAGTGACCCATAAGCAACCTGCGTCCACACCCCTCCTCCTCCCGCCGCTCGTCCTTCAGAAGAACACAGCCACGGGGCACCCAACAGCCTCACTCACCCAGCCTCGAATCCCTCGTGACCCACTTCTGACCCACAAACAGCACACTGCCCCACGCCCACAAATCACACCTCCTTCTCCCTCCGCTCGTCTTTCAGGAAGAAAACCGCCACGGGGCAGCCAGCGCCCTTGGCCAGCTTCGCCTCCAGCCTCTCCCGTGCGTCCGCCACGTCAGCAGCCCGCAGGTTGCCCGTGAACAGCGCGCCTGAGCCGTAGGGGCGGGAGTCTGTGGGCCAAAAGTCGGTGTAGGAGAAGCAGGTGCGGAGCTGAGGGGGGGAGGGTGGGATGGGGGGGTGGGGGGGGGGAGAGAGGTAAGAAAGAGGAAGGGAAAGGAACACAGGTTGCCTGTGTATAGTGTGCCTGAGCTGTAGGGTCGGGAGCCGGTGGGCCAGAAGTCCGTGCAGGAGAACAGGTGCGGAGCTATTGGTAAGAAGGGGAGAGGCGGAAGAAAATCAAGAGGGAATGGAGTGAAGGGGTGTAAAAGAGGACCATCAGTGTGAGCTGTCGCGTTCGCCCCCTGGGAAAACAACGCGCAATCTTCATAATCGCTTGTGTGGAGATCAATGGCGACAATAGAATCACCGTCAAAGGTACCCATGCGAGCGACTGAAGGTTGCACTTTTTTTTCCCAGCGGACGAACGCGACAGACCACGCTGATGGTCCTCTTTTGGGAACTGCACAAAAAGCAGAAGTTTTACCCACCTCCCCCCCCCAACCTTCCCGAGTCTCACCTTTGCAACATCCAGCTTGTCAACTACACCCTTCCCACCATCACCAATGGCAAATGGCCTCCGTCAGCCCCATCAGCAGGCGCCCTTTCAACCCAATCTCTTCACTGTCCCTTCGTCAGTTCACTGAGCGACTTGCACCCGCATCCCCACCGCCCATTGCCTCTCACCTTGGGCAATATCCAGCTTGTCGACTGCCCCCTTCCCACCATCAGCAGCCCACCCTGCACCCCCCTTCTCCAGTTCCCCTCACACACGTACCCACCCCTCACCGACTCTCACCTTGGCGATATCCAGCTTGTCAATGCCGCCCCGCCCCTCACTGGTAACACCAAACGCGTCCTCTATGGCTTCCGCCAGCCCCAACAGCAGCCCCCCCTTCAAAGCCCCCTCGCCTTCCTTCCCGTTCTTCCCACCGCCGCCACTGGCGCCGCCAGTGCCGCTTGCACTGCTTGGCGGCGTCCCCGCCCGTCTCGCCGCCTGCCGCAGCGCTTGCTGCCGCCGCCGTTCCTTCTCCCTCTCCTTCTCTTCATCCATAACTGTATTTTTCTTCTTATCGCTCTCCTGGTGTGCTTGTACAGGGTTGCTGTTCGCACCAACATCGTGTAACTGATCGGATTTTACGGAATCTGTGGCTTCAGTATTAGGCGCCGAGCCGCCACTGGTAGCAGAAGACCTATCCTCCGCCTTCACTCGCACGAGCCGCTTCCTGAATCTGCGGTGCCGTCTTTCCAGTCGCTCTCCCAAAGTTGAAGCGGGGTGTCGTATCCTCAGTTTGGATCTTAGTTCGAAATTGAAGATCGATTTCGGTGAAAACTGAGAAACATTTCCGTTCGGTACGCTGATCGCGATGTACCGCAGAGGCAAGGACGCTGCCAGTCCAGCCATAGCCGCGGTACGAGTACAAGATGATAAGGTAATTTGAATTGCAACCCAGAAGAAGATAACGTAATGAGTCGAGATTGGAGCTACTAATACAAGCGATGAATCCGCTCGCAGGAAAGATGCGTCACACCCGGACACTCCTATCGAGCTTCACGAGGAGGGGAGGAATAATAACTGCGAGCCGCCAATAGAGGTGGACTTGGGAAAAGCCGCCATGGCTTCATTGCGAACAGCTGCTCTATTCCGGCGCTAACGCGTGCCGAGCATGTCGGACTTGTCAAATTTCGAGGCTAGCACAAAACCAAAATTCACGGTTATGATTGGTCAGTCTGAGTGGCAGGGAGATTTAGACCCTTCCGAGCCTAGATACAACTCGGGCTGAACAAGGTTCGGCTTCCTCAAGGCTCTCAGGGCAACTGGTGTGACAAATCCTCGTTAGAGAGACAGGGCAAGCGCGATTCGTCGAATGAGTTCTGTTCTGTCAAGGCCAATGCTGACGAAGCCAGCGATTGGCTGTACCATCCCACGTCACGGTTGTAAAGGGTGAATTCGAAATCTGGCGGCCAACACGAATAGCGTGCGAACAACATCCAAAAGCCAATGGAGGCATGATACTATCAAATAAGACATTGTACTATCAGATTGGAACACTTCACATGATACTTCTTAAAGTTTTTCTGTTGATATTTGATAGTCCCAATATAGCCGAGCGTTTCTCTGAAGTCATCCAGGGTTTCGGTCCACAATCCATGAATGTTGCAGGCAGCTAATGTTGCAGCTAATGTTGCAGTGAAGACCTTAACCAGACAGTATTCTCATATCATCCGAGGTTCCGGACCACAATTGAGAGCTTCACTTTGTTTAGCGGCATTGCAGGATGCCCGCCCACTCTAGGCGAAATAGGGCGGAACGCTAATACTTCATAAACATTGCCTGAAATGTAAATTAGAGTGATGTTTCTCTAATCATCCATGGTTGTGGACCACGATTGGCAGCTTCACCTTGTAGTAGCGGCACTGCAGGATGCCACTCGAGGCGAAATAGAGCGGAAAGGTTTCCCAGATGGCAGTCACCTTGTAGCTGCCAGCCACAGGGAGATGGTAACAGAGGAAGACACACAGTGCGAGTCAGAGTTGTTAGCGACAGTGATGGATGCAATACAGCAATGACAACAGTGTAAGACTGACATTGTTAGCAACAGGGATAATTGGCAGCAGTGGTGCTGGTGGCAGGGCAGAGCAGTTTCCACTCAACAAGCGATAAACCTGGATAAACCTGGATAAACCTGGATAAATCTGGATAAACCTGGATAAACCTGGATAAACCTGGATAAACCTGGATAAACCTGGATAAACCTGGATAAACCTGGATAAACCTGGATAAACCTGGATAAACCTGGATAAACCTGGAACTGAATGTCGGAATTAGAAAGCGTTCCTCGATACAGCCAGGTTCGCTCATTACAGGCCTGCCTTACAATACTGCCCTAATTTTTTCGGGTACTGCCCTTACTTTCCTCATGCTGCCCGGACTCACGTGTACTGCCCGCCAACAACAAGGGGTCGGAGGAGCTTTGCCCGAGTGAAGTCACAACTCTTGAACGCTTTCTCATCGTCCATGACCCACAGATCATGCCATGCCAAGTCCGTCCACTTGAACACTGTAGGGGACGAACATACGGAAGAGGACACATGGCATGGGTGGAGGTGAGAGGATGGCGATTCACATATCATGCCATGTCAGGTCCGTCCACTTGAACACTGGACGGGCGGGACGGACATACCCAATAGGACACATGGCATGGGTGGTGGTAAGTGGATAATATTTCACTCATCATGTCACATGTGTTGTAGCTCTGAATGATGAGGCATGCTGATGGCTCATGAGTATGGTGCTTGGTGATCGTTCATTCATGGATCATGATACCAAAACATGCCATGTACGCCCACATCTGTCAACCGTGAGAATGAGAAATACATGGGTTAAGAGGGATGCATAGTGGTGGTGACTCATGCATCATGGTGCGTGGCTGGCCTTGATTTACCGGCCAACACTCATAACGCACTATCCCTGATTGTGACACGTCTCTAAACCAACCTTCCATCATCTGGACACAACCACAAGTCATAATACGCGGATCTCACGGTTACTCCACTGTCACAAAGCAAGAAACGGAGTGGGGCGAGTTAGAGAAGCGTGATATGGAGAGTCGAGTGGTATATGGTGCAACTGTGCGAGCTACCTATTGTATCGCCACGAGTTACCAAATCCGGAGGCTGCACCCCTCTCGTCCTGATGAGATCCCAAGAAATGGTGTAGGTGGCTGCCTGGTGGATGGAAAACAGAGAGCCAGGGAAAACAGAGAGCCAGGGAAAACAGAGAGCCAGGGTAAACAGAGAGCCAGGGTAAACAGAGAGCCAGGGTAAACAGAGAGCAGAGCCAAGGTTAGGGTGGTGGGTACCATAAACTTGCTACCCACTAAGGTATGGTTTACGAGGCAGCCTGGTGGGTGGAGGGTAGAATCCGTCCGACCGAGCAAGGTGTTTCGAAGGATAAGAAGGGTTTCCAAGAGTTGGTGAACAGGGCGACCTAACGAGTGGAAGTAACAGCAAGAAACAAACGAAGACGACTGAAGACAGCAGATAATGCATGGGCCAAACGCATAGGGGAAGCACTTGATATTTTGAGTTTAATGCATACCAATTGACACTTGATGTTCTGCTTTCTGGAACCTCGTATAGCTAGTTCCCGATTGAAGGTGCTCTTGAGAATTCTCAAAAGCACCACCACCAACATAGCTGCTCTCTGGAACCCCATATAGATAGCCCCCGGTTGAATTGAACAATAAAATATGTCATAGTGAAATAATGTGACAGCACTAATACGCGAGATGTTATCAACAAAGGCGACTGGTCAGAATACTGGAAAGCGAAAGTGGCGATAGGGTTACCAGCAGGGGAGGACAGATTTCACGACTCACCTGTGCTTGCTGCAGCCATGAAACTGCGCATGGAGGGGACGGGCAGGGGGGAACGCGCAAGGAAGGGCGGGAAAAAGGGGAGAAGGGCAGGGACGGATGGGAGACGTGATGGAATGGAGTTAGGAGGGAGAGGACGGGAAGGAGGGGACTGGAGAGAGGGAGGGAGGGAGGGAGGGAGGGAGGGAGGGAGGGAGGGAGGGAGGGAGGGAGGGAGGGAGGGAGGGAGGGAGGGAGGGAGGGACGGACGGAGAGAGGGACGGAGGGAGGGACGGAGGGAGGGAGGGAGGGAGGGAGGGAGGGAGGGAGAGAGGGAGGGAGGGAGGGAGGGAGGGAGGGAGGGAGGGAGGGAAGGAGGGAGGGAGGGAGGGAGGGAGGGAGGGAGGGAGGGAGGGAGGGACGGAGGGAGGGACGGAGGGAGGGACGGAGGGAGGGAGGGAGGGAGGGAGGGAGGGAGGGAGGGAGGGAGGGAGGGAGGGAGGGAGGGAGGGAGGGAGGGAGGGAGGGAGGGAGGGACGGACGGAGAGAGGGACGGAGGGAGGGAGGGAGGGAGGGAGGGAGGGAGGGAGGGAGGGAGGGAGGGAGGGAGAGAGGGAGGGAGGGAGGGAGGGAGGGAGGGAGGGAGGGAGGGAGGGAGGGAGGGAGGGAGGGAGGGACGGACGGACGGACGGAGGGACGGAGGGAGGGAGGGAGGGAAAGAGGGAGGGAGGGACGGCGAAGGATGGGACGATCGGGAAGGAAGATGTTAAGAAGACAACAGGGGGGGAAGCGGAGGGAACGAGGAGGTAATCTAATCAACGGTGGGGAGGAGGAGATGGGGCGAAGGGGAGGAGAGGAGCTTGAAATAAGCACAAGGAAAGAAACGATATTCTGCCTCCGGGAAGAGCAGTGGAAGGAAATCGAGCACAATGCATGCTGTGTGGCTCACATGTCAGGAGGAGCGAGGTGCTGACGAGAAATGCGAACCCGGAGCCGACTGATCGAGCCATCGGCAGCAGCTTTCAGCTAGCACGAACGAGGCGTGAGGCGAGAAACGGTACGAATGCGCTTCTTCTCGCGTAAAGGGTGGCATGCAAGACCCAAGCGAGACAGCACTTTGAAAGAACGCTTTGCGGCGTGGGCAAACGCCGTCCCTGGAGAGCTCGCTACTGCACGGAAAGAACGACTATTGACCTCGTCAAGAACGACAATTGCTAGGAAGTACGAAGATATGTCCTTCAAATCGGTCATACGATTGATATAGGTCACGGAACTGAGATCCGTCGCTTGCCTGCGCACTCAGCTCGCCGTCCGATCGGCCGAGAGGAACCCCTCTCGCCGTCATGATGGCAATCTACGCGCAACGACAGCACCGTTACTATACGAGCAGCGTCGCAGAAGAGAGGAGAGAGCGGATGGGACTCGCAACGACAGCGTCGCTCAACGTGACGGCAAAATCGCGTGCAAGGCAGATCACAGACAAGGTCTGCGAGAGCAAGTGAGCCTCGCCTCCAAGGGTCTGCCGAAGCAACGCATCCCCCCTTCCCCCCCTCCCCCCCCACCTCTTCAGAAGCTTTCTTGGAACGGTAGGATAAGGTCTGATCAGGTAAGGTAAGGTAGGGTAACGTAAGGTCTGTCAGTAAAATTCTCTTCTGAAAAGTCCGAGGAGGGCAAGGGAGCCTCCCGCGCGCCCTTACGAAGGTTGCCTGGAACACAGGTTAGGTCTTTGCAAAGCTCTTCGACAAAAGACCGCCTTTCGTTGTCCGAGCAGAGAACAAGGCGGAAGGCATGTGGGAAAGAAAGGCGGAAGCGGGGGATTGGACATGAGCTGCAACGCGGTGGTTACAGGGGGTAATTAACCTCTTCTGTGAAACGAGACGGAGTGTGAATATCGGCGCCGCTAGGCTGAAGCTGGCCCAAGAATCGGAACCTAAATCCGTCGCTATCGATCTCGCTATCGCTGTCACCGTCCCTGCCGCTGGCGCTAAGCTGAAGCGGCGCAAGAAATGCGAACGTAAAGGGAAGTCGGTGTAAGGCATTTCAGTGGGTTTGTGCCACGTGCATCTATGGCTGCTGCTGGTGCTTGCTTGCTTGGTTCCCTTCAGAATCAGCCATCGACAGTTCGGAGGGACGGTTCCGATATAGTCGCTTCTGGAGACACTTCAGGGCGAAATTCGTTTAGAGAGGTACAAAGGCGTGTAATACAAACACTTTCGAACTCGCTGTATTTCTATCCCCCGTCCGTGATTTACGCCGTCCTCGTTCGCCAGCCAAGAAATTTCCCCTTGGGTTGACTGAAATTGAAGCCCATGGACATCGAGCCGCCCAAAAATAAGTGGAATGGCGGTGCGTGCGGGTCGGCGTCCCGCTGCAACCATTTGGCACTTCACGACATTTTCAAGCGAGCAGATTCTGGAAACACACTATCGCCGAGCATTTCGTCTTGATGGTTGCTTTCTCGTCACGCCTTCATTCACGAACTCTGTGTCGCCGACTTTCGTCCACGCTTTCCAAATTTCATGCCTTGCGGGGATCCCTTCCAAGTTCATATATTTCGTAGACTCACCTCCAATCAACCCTCATCAATCAAAAAGAATCACTCGTTCACCTCCAATCAACCCTCTACGATCAGACAATTACTCGCGATCTTGCTCCCACCAAGCTAACGGCAGAGATATACAGCAAGAAAATGTCGACCTTCCGCGCTTTCATGCGTCTTGGGCGACTCAAGTTCATTCCGTACTCGTCCATGCTCGCGCTCATGGGCGCGCTCTCACGTGACATCAGCCACCACCACGAGTTCCGCTTCCGCATAGAAAGCTTCGTTCCGGTGGCGCTGTTCGTGGCATGCACGCACGTCATGACGCACTACTACAACGAGTACTTCGACTACGAGGCCGATCTCGCTAACAAGAAACGCGGAAAGTGGAACGGCGGCTCGGGCGTGCTTCCCGAGGGCCTGCTGCCGCGCTGGCTCGCGCTCGCCGCGGCGAACGTTCTCCTCGTTGGGAGCGTCATCACACAGCTCGCCTTCTTCGCTCGCCCCGCGCAGTGCGTCGCATGCGCGACGCTCTTCCTCTCGTGGGCGTACACCGCGCCGCCGTTTAAGCTCCATTATCGGGGCTTGGGCGAAGCGACTGTCGCCGCCGTGCTGACGTGGGGCGTCCCCGTGATGGGAGCGCTGCAGCGCAGCGACGACGACGCGTTCGTGCTTCCCACGTCGCTCCGCGCGATCATCCCGCTCCTGTGCGTGCAGCAGTTGGTGCGGATGATGGTCATGAACCTTCCCGACATTGATTCAGACCTGCAGTGCGGCAAGTTCACGTTGACGGCGCGATTGGGACCTGCGAGGGTGGCGCGTTTGTATCGATTTGCACAGAACGCGGTTGGTGTCATGGCTGTTATCTTGTTCGCGTGCGGGCTCATGACGTGGCCCGTTCTCGTCGCGTTTCTCGTCGCGACGACCAAGGGGATCAGTTTGGCGCGTCGTTTAGACGATATCGTGTTTGACGTCACTGGGACTGCGGCAAAATCCTGCCACAACAAAAAAAACGATAGCGCTGGTCATACTGCTGCTGGAAAGCCTGTAAATACTATCATGCACTTCGGGGATCTCCCGTACCAGGCGACGATTCACGTGGCGTCGACCGCGCTGATGCTGGTCCTTGCACAAGCGCTGGTGCTGATTACGCAGTGAGTGAATTTCCGTTATTCACGGCAGTGGGTGCTGAAAGTGCTGGGGGGTAAGCTGAATCCGAGGCATTTCACACTTCTCTACCATTTGTACATATACCGTCTCATAGAGCCTAATATATAGAATTATTCCGTTTCTACATGCTTGTGAAATGTAGGAGGCTTGTGGATAGAAATGTACTGTACATCTCTTGCAACACAACAAAAGCATGTACAGCTGGATTTTGAGCAACCTATTGTTACTTGGCGTTTTGCAGTACAATATCCCAAAGAGTTAGCAGTACCAGCAGCTATTTGAAGCATGCAGTAGATCATTCAAGCAGAGCAAAAATGGTTGTTGCTCACTAGGAAGATTCAACCAGAAACCTGAATATGAGGACAGGTGACAGGTCCATCCAAGTCAACGCAGGTCAAATCAGGTAGAGCACCCTGGTCCACTCATCCAGGGGTCCTGGCAGGCAGTACTGCAGGCCATCCGAGGGTGGCCAAATTGTTGTAGAGGCTTTTCCTCTACTTTGCAGGAACTGGGATTTTCTCAAAGTATGAATGCAACGGAATCATGAGATTAGGAATGTGGGTGATACAAATAGCAAACCCTAACTGAGTTGTACTCACTAAGGAGCACCTCACTACAGCATATCACAAATATCAACATTTGACCCACCCCCATAGGCTAAGTGAGGGGCATCAAAGCAAGCAGGGTGAACAAACGGTCACAAGACCAGTCAATGCAAGAAGCAAAGCAAGCTCAGGGTGGATCTCAAGGACACCACACAAATTAAGAGCACAAGCAAGCGGCCACAAGGCCAGCTCAAGAGTTCACTAATATATATATAATAGCAAAGCACAACAAGCAGAGCAAGCAACAAGGCTACCGCAACCGAGGACCTGCCCCAACAAGCCCTAACTGCACACAGAACCGGTGGTGATCACCAGGCACCAAGGCCTTGGTGAAGAGGTCAGCAGTGTTGGCCTTTGAGGCCACAAATTCCAGGCGCACCTGGCCGCGTCGCTGTAACTCACACAGGAGGAAGTACCGGTCGTCGATGTGCTTCACCCTGGTCTCCAGTCGGGGCTCGCGACACAAAAGAATCATGGCCTTGTTGTCAGCGAACAAGGTCGGAGCAGTGCGAGGTCGCTCACCAAGGTCAGCGAGCAAGAAGGTCAACCAGCGAAGCTCCTGAGCAGCCACAGCACCGGCGTAGATCTCTGCCTCTGCACTAGACGAAGCCACTGACGACGACCGTGTGGACTGCCACGACACAGCCCCAGCTCCCAGACTGAAACAGTAACCCTGGGTCGAGCGCTGAGTCTCCACGTCGTCAGCGTAAGAAGAGTCACAGAGGCCAGTCAGGTCAACTGGCCGAGTCCCTCCAAGGACAAGCCCCATGCCTGATGTAGTCGCCAGGTACTTCGCCACCCTCACGGCAGCCGTCCAGTGAACAGGACGGTGCCTCCCAGGTCCAACAAAGCGAGAGAGGACGCTAAGAGGGTAGGCGAGGTCCGGGTGAGTACAGGTCATCAGGTACATGAGGCAGCCAACAAGCTCTGGGTAGGGACCACTGGGCTCAAAAGGCTCGTCGGGGAAGGGGCCGGTGAGTCTGTGGTCTATAGCAAGAGGAGTGGGCTGTGTGGTAGAGAACTGAAACCCGAACCGCTGAAGGACCTGCTTCACCATGTGTGACTGAGTCAACGTGATGGTGCGAGCGGCTCTGTCCCTAGTGATCTGCAGGCCAAGGTAGCGTTGCAGTTCACCAAGGTCAGTGCACGTGTGTCTCTTCTGCAGTTCGGACTTCACCTTAGCCAGAGCTGCCCTGTCTGGTGTAGCAAAGACCAAGTCGTCGACGTAGACGAGTATAAAGAAAGGACTGGAGCCGGCACAAACAAACAGTGACGGGTCAGCAGAGGAAGGGCGAAACCCTAGGTCACGAAGCGTGGAGCGAAGAGTGTCGTGCCACTCACGGGGCGACTGGCGGAGACCGTAGACTGGTCGCCTCAGGCTCCACTGGGTCCCAGTAGGGAAAGTACTAGTCAAACCAGGAGGACAGCGCAGCCAGATCTCCTCGTACAGACGTCCCTGGAGAAAGGCAGTGGAGAAGTCGAGGGAGTGGAGCTCGTAGTCACGCTGTGCTGCTACGTGTAGTAACACCCGAAGTGTAGTCATCTTCGGGGTCGGAGCGAAGGCCAGAAAGAATTCAACTCCCTCGCGCTGATTGAAGCCTCTTGCCACATAGCGCGCCTTGAACACCGGGGGTGATCCAGGCAGCCGCTTCACCTTGAAGAGCCACATGCCATTGACTACGTTCGCCCGGGGAGGGGGAACTGCGTTGACGTAGGTGCCTGTGGATCTCCAAGACGCCAACTCTGAGTCCATGGCCGCCTTCCACCGAGAGGCCCACGGCCCTGACACTGCCTCACGGTACGTGCGAAGAGTCGGTATATCAAGGGCGTCGGGGTCTCCCTCAGGGGAAAGCAGCATGGCACAGAGAGTGGGAGAAGCGGCTGCCAGGTACTCTAGCTCAGAGTGCTTGTCCTCTAGGACGTCACAGCCAAGGGAAAACTCACCCCCGACGGACAGAGGACGGGTAGGCGGAGCGGGCACCACACGAGTGCTGTAGTCAAGACGGTTGGCGGCGGCAAAGTCAGCGACAGCGGCAGTGAGAGCCGAGACAGACGACAGAGAGAAACGAGGGTCGGTGACACTAGAGGCTAGAACGCGGGAGACAACAGGGCGAACAACATGGTAGTAGTCGGAGATAGGAGTAGGGGAGACAGGAAGAGAAGACGGAGGAGGAGACAGGAGAATGGACACCGGAGGAGGAGAACGACAAAGAGAGGTACAAAGGAGGGCAGTGTGGAGGTCGGTAACGGGGGACGAGGGACGAGCACTCGGAGGACAAGGACGGGAACGGTAGTGACAGACAACAGGAGGAGGAGACCAGACCGCCGGACGGGCGTCAGGAGGAGAAAAAGTAGGACCAAACGCAGGAGGAGACGGAGGGCGGACAGGAGGAGAGGAGGGAAGATCAAGGGCCCGGAGGCCACTCACGGGCGGGAACAACTGCCGCTCCAGAGGGAGCTGCTGCGGCTGCGGTGGCGGCGGCAGCGGCTGCTGCTCCAGCATGTCCAACTGCTGCAACTCCTGCCGCTCCCGCTCCAACCGCTCCTGCTCCTCGCACGCACGCTGGCAGGCCACCTGGAAACGCGTGTCGTGGCGGTGGGGAGGCAGAGTGCTCTCCGCAGACGTAGTGCCCCCAGCTCCAGTCGCCTCAGATCTAGCACCCCCAGAACCAGTGTCCCCAGAAGGGGTACCAACAGGGTTAGGGTCCCCAGCTCCTGCGCCCCCTGGCCTAGCACCCCCAGTGCCAGGACCTCCAACTCCAGCACCCCCAGAACTAGCACCCCCAGTGCCAGCACCTCCAGCTCCAGCACCCCTCGAACGAGCACCCCCAGACCCAGTACCGCCAGTGGCCACACCTCCAGCTCCAACACCAACCGAGTCCACAGTAGCCTGTCGCGGAAGTGCCGAAGGCTGCTGAGGGGACTGCGAGGGGGACTGCGGGGAGGGAGACGCTACATGACACGCGACCGAGGGTAGAGGGGTAGCGTGAGACACACCTGACAGGGCAGGACCAAGGGGGGGTGGGGGTACCGGAGGAGCGGGAGCAGGGGGAAGAGAGGGTGCGAGGAAAAGGGGGGGAAGGGGAACCGAGAGACCTTGACAGGGGTACCGGGTGTAGTAGGATAGTGACTCGTCGAACCGGACGTCACGGGAGTCTAGGAACTGGTGGAGGGGCGGGTGGCAAAAGGACCAGTCGGCCGAGGCGACCGGGAAACCAAGGAAGACACAGGGGACGGTGCGAGCCGAGAGCTTGTCCGCAGAGGTGTCGCGGACAAGCGCAAGGCAGCCCCAGACACAAAAGGCTGACCCAACACCAGGGGACCCGGTCCAAAGACTGGTTGGTGAAGCCTCTGGCCGCGAGACGCGCGGCTGGAGGTTCAGCTGGTGAGCGGCGTAGCGAACCGCGTAGGGCCACAGAAAATGGGGCGCACGTGCATGAATCATGGACGTGCGGGCGATGTCCATGACCAAACCAATGCGGCGCTCAGCAACCCCATTCTGCTGTGGGGACTCCGGCAGCGTCCAGGACTGTACGATGCCCTGCTCGCCGCAGAATCTGGCGAGAATGCCTGAGCGAAACTCACCCCCACGGTCAGAGTGGAGACAGGAGACATGACGACCACGAGTGCCCTCAGTAGCTAGAAGCCACCGGATTAGCGTAGAAGTCACCTCAGACTTCTTCGCGAGAGGAAACACCGTGGTGTATCTGGAGAAGTCGTCGACGACCACCAGAAAGTAGCGCTCCCTCTCAGGTCCCAGCGTAGGTGCAGGGCCCCAGACATCCAAGTGGAGTGTCTGGAAGGGAGCAGTGGCCGGACGAAGAGAGGAGGAGTGCGGAGTGGCACGAAGACGGCCGGCGATGCAAGGAGTGCACGGGGGTGCAGGCGAGGGAGGGAGCGACGGGAAGACGCGAGGGAGACCTGAGACAAGACGGTGACTAGCCATAGTGCGGAGGTGGGGGATCGACGGCTGGCCAAGATGGTGGTGCCACAGGACGGTCCGGTGGGTGAAAGACCGATACGAGCAAGACGCAGCAACCTGACCAGACGCGATAACCAGAGGGGACGCAGCGACCAGAGGTGACGTGGACACCGGGTAGTGCTTGGTGTGGAGGACGTAGAGACCGGATCGCGGCTCCCTGGTGAACGTGGCCAAAACCCTGCCAGTGACAGCGTCCGTACAGACTGCAGTCCGCCCACCCCCCACAAAGGTAACGGTGATCCCCCTGTCCTTGAGGAATCCAACACCCACCAAGTTTCGAGTGAACGACGTGATGTGGAGGCCGCGCAGGACACCAGAGGGGACCACAGGGCACGGGAGGGTGGTAGAGCTGCGTGCCACGGCTGGTCCTGATGAAGGATCAGCCATGGCTACCGGTACAG